ACGTTCATAGGTTCTATAGGGAGGCAGGCAAGAGGGGATGGGGAGTGGATGTTAGCTTAGTCAAACAACAGTGTCTGCCTTCTATGGATTATTGATTTCATCCTCACAATAGCTCTATGAATGGAGTACTGTAGATACCCCAGTTTGCAGGTGAGAAGACAGAAGTTAAGAGATTTGCCCAAGATCAAGCAGCTGGTAAATGGTTTGGCTTATAGCTTCCACCACAGCTGGCAGCCATCTAGCAAGATGGTTAGGAAGGCAAGTCGCTGAGATAGACTGCCTTCTAGACTCTGAATCCAAGCTCTACTTCCTTTTAGTTTATGTCTTGAGGGGTTATTTAACTTCTTTTCACCTCGGATTGCTCACTTGTAAAATGGGGATAACCTTCCATTTATGGTGAAGAGTCAGTGATGTAATACTTGTAAAGTACCCAGAAAATTTGGCTTGGAATAAGCACTAGCAACTTGTTAACTAAGAATCTATGAAGCAGGCTCATTTATAATAGCCCCAAACTGGAAAGAACCCAAATGCCCCCCATTGGCAGAAGGGATCAATAAATCGTGGTGTAATCATACAGCTGAATACCACGCAGCAGTGAAAAAGGATGGGTTATTAATACACACAACAACGCAGGATAGTCTCATGGTGAGTGAAAGAACCCAGACATGAATGAGTACACACTGTGTGACTCCATGCATATGAAGTTCAAAAACAGGCAAAACTAACCTATTGTGACGGAAGTCAGAAGAAGAGTTCCCATCGGGAGAGTTAAGTCTGCAGGAGGGGATGAGGGAACTTTCTGGGCTGCTGGAGATGTTCTGTATCTTGATCTGAGTGGTGGTTATGCTGGTATATACACGTGTAAAAATTCATTAATTTGTACACCGAAGATGTGTGCATTATACTGCACATGTGTTATATTTCTATTTTAAGAGTACATAAAAAATGTTAGAAAGAGAAAACCAGAAACAATGAAGCATACCTGTTTATGCTGACTGGCATTTCTGGAGGACACTCTTAGAAAAAAATGGTGGCAGGAAGGGGAAGGAGGGCTATTGGGCTTCTCTCAGAAAGCCTCTGCTGCACGTCCCCCTCCCTTCAGAGGAAACTCCCTCTGAGTCGTTTGCCCAGGCACGGAGATGTGTTTGTACTGGAGCCACTCCTGCCCTCTTGCCTGGCCCCTGGGTGGTCAGTGGTGAGCTTTAGTGGGGAGGCAAGCAGAAATACAGCTGATTGCATTTCTCAGGCATTATCCTGTAATGAGTCAGATTGCCTACTAATTGACCAATACGAATGCCAGGCTGCATCAGCCTGGAATGCCCCCAAGAACTGTCCTTCCAAAGGCAGACTGCCATGGAGCTGACCACCTAAAGAGCTCCAGCTCTTTGTGTGGAACAAGAGGTCATGGATGCTGCCCTCAGCTGACCTGGGGACAATGTTGGGGGAAGAAGTGGGCAAGTACGTTTAGGCCGAGAAGGCAGTGGTGCCCATGGCCCAGGGCTGCCGCAGCCATCAGGGTGGTTCAAAGCCTGAAAGAAGATCCTCTGAAGGAAGAGGTTCAGAGTCAGACCAGGACAATATTAGTGGCTTTCTTACATTTTATACTTTGCAGGGGCTATGGGGGATGGGAAATAACCTATTTGTCATTTGCGCTTCTCAGGGATAGGGTGGAAGGAAGGGTATGCCACCCTTCAACCAGGCAAGAGACCACTGCATTTTACAACACCCAAACACAAACACCTTTTTTTTCTGTTCAATCCCATGAAGGTTTTTTTGTTTCTGTTTTTGTTTTAATTTCAGAAATTGATAGAGCAAACAGGAGAGGGACAGGGTTGCTGAATTGTGCCCCCAGGCCAGACAGTGTGGCCAGCAAGCCCTCCAGTGAGTGTAGGGAAGAGAGAATCACAGCCTCCGCTCTGGGTCAGCGGAGGAGTGGCTGCCTCTACTTAAATTTGGTCACTGCAAGTCACCCAGAGTGCTGCCTGCACTCCCTCCATCCCCTGTGTTTGGGAATGCCTGAAAATCCTGCAAAGTGAGGCCTGGGGAGAGGGAGCCTGCCCACCAACGCTGCCTGGGAAATGTGTACGGGGCGGGCCCCATCCTGGGTTTGGGGGGCCCAGGCCCAGCTCTGGCCTGCACTGCCCCAGCAGATCCCTGGCCCCATGCGTTCCCAGGGCACCAGAGGGATCCCCTCGCTGTGGGCTGCGGGGCCCTGGATGGAACGCAGCCTGGGGCACAGACACAGAGTAATGTATAGCAGTTACATAATTAGACATTCTCTGTGTGGACCTTTGTGTGTGCTCTGGTCCGGGACCCCACAAATGTTGGGACTGGACCTTTGGAAGGGAAGAACGAGAGAACCTGACACTGGTTCAGAAATCCCCCCGCTCCCTGATGGAGATGTTAGGTTGTCTTCCTCTTCCAGCCTACTACCCATGGCACAAGCCCATATCCCCCGCAACCACAAAGCAGCCAACGAGAAGGTTCTCGCCCTCCCTCCTTTGTCTCTTTCTCTCCACTGCTCCACCCTGAGGAACCCCAATACGGTACCTTTGGAATTTCGGGTACCTGTGGGCGTCCTTGCTCAGCACAGCCACTTCCTGAGACCAAGCACCACAGTCCCCACGCAACCAAAGATAATGAGTTTTGGGGGGACATCCTACTGACAAAAGACAGTTGTTGCTTCTAGAGCAAAGAAAGAAAATGTTATATTTTTTTTCTCCAGGAGATACAACCTTCTTCCCAAATGTTATTCTGTCATTAGCCTTCCCAGCACTCACAGGGAGCCTAGTGATACCATGAGTCCTGACTTTATGGAGAGAGAAATTGAGTCATACACCAGGTCTGTAGGTTCTCATTTGGTGGCTCAAAAACAAAAGCATTTTTCCTCTTTTTGGACTAGGATTGCATCTCATTTCCATAAACAAAACACTCGGGAGAATTGGCTTTTCTACTTCAAACAAGTGTCTTCTTAAACACAGTACACATTCCGTCTAGATATGTGATAGCCTTCAAATACCATATGGGCGGGACCAGGCTCTGATTAGTGATGGTTTTGCAGATGTTAGATGAATCTTCTGGAGTGGTGGGTGCCCTCAGTTGGGAATTTTTGTGAAAGTCCCTAACAGTGGCTTCACTCAAACTAGAGAACACAAAGACCCAGTTTTGATATTAAAAAATATCTATCATCGTAAGATTATTTTTACTCCCTCTTTTTCTGTCTCTTGCACAGAAATGTAGCCCATTCAGTGAAGAAATGGTGAGGCCAGCCTGTGTTTGGGCCAACTGACCGATGGCCAGCATTTCGAGGGCTGTGTGTAACTCTGGTCTGTATCATGCCCGGAGCGAGGAAAGTCCTGCAGTCTCCAAAGTGGAAACGAGCAAGCAAAAAATAGCAAACGTCTGCTTGGAGACCCATCTACAATTTCATATGAGCTGATGGTTTTTATGGAACTTAGAGACAGATCAAAGGGAAGATGCATTTGTCCTATCAGGGCCCAGCCTATAAGCCAGAGACCATTTCTGTTTTTCAAAGGGTCGAGAATCCATGTTTTCACTCAATGAATATTTATTGAGTCCCTTATCTGTGCCAGGCACTAAGACACAAAAAACAAGCTGCAGTCCCTATTAATAGGGCTCCCAGACTGATGGGAGACAAGCATGGAGAGAAACCATGGCTCGGAATAATGTGTGCTACAATTAAAATCTGTGCTAAGTGCTGTGACCCCGTCAAGTTAGAGAATACTCTACAGAGGGGTAATGCTCTCGAGTTCTCAGAATTGGGATGGGGAGAGGGATTCGGGGTGGAAAGAACACAGGCAAAGGCAGGGAGGCAGACAGTAGGGAACAGTTCTGTTTGCTAAAATATGTTTATTTTAGGAATCATTTGAATTCCTGTTATGAGCCAGGCAAGGAGGATGCGTGGTGAGCAAATCCACCACGGCCCATGTTCCGTGTGCATTTTGGAGGCTGGAGAGGGAGGCATGCGTTAGACAAAGCTTCTTGTAAGCAATCACATAGTTAACACACTGAGGTCAGTGCTAGCCGGTGAAGGTACAGGGTGCTCTGAGCCCAGGAGGGCTTGGGGGTAGGGGAGGGATGGATTTAGCAGGAGAGTCAGCAAAGGCCCTTCAGCTAACACTGGCATGATGAATAGGAGTAACTCAGGCAGAGAAAAGAGAGCGCTGTTTAGGCAGAAGAAATAGAATTAAGGGAAAAGCCTCGTGTGTTTGAGGGCCTGGTGGGGAGCAAGGCTGGAGGGGCAGACTGGGGCTGGATGGTGGAGAGCCCTCCAGGCCTTGCTGATGAGGGAGCAGAAGGCTAGATGAAGACAAAGCATAAGCTGACACCCTGCATCCTACCCCCCACCCCACCCCCACTCCTGGGTGGGACATGTGTGACATTCCTCCAGGAATCTCCCAGCTATCTTAATGTTAATACCTTGCTAGAGGGGAAAACAACCTTAACTTGACAGTGGCACGGCTTCTGGTATCTTGTAGGTATCTTGTAGAGCGCCTGGGTGGCTCAGTGGTTAAGCGTCTGCCTACAGCTCAGGTCATGATCTCAGGGTCCTGGGATTGAGTCCCGCACCGGGCTCCCTGCTCAAGGGGGAGCCTGCTTCTCCCTCTGCCCGCCGCTCATGTGTGCTCTCTCTCTCTCTCTTATTCTCTTGCTCTCTGTCAAATAAATAAATAAAACCTTTAAAAAAAAAAAAAGCGTATGAAAGTTCTTTTGAAACCTCCGTTTTCCTTACTCCCCCCAGCTCCCGAGTATATAATCACCACTCCTCAAGACCCCGGGGCAGCAGCTCTTTCTGCCCACAAGTCCAGTCCGCGCGCTTTAATAAACCACCTTTTTGCACCAAAGACGACTCAAGAATTCTTTCTTGGCCGTGGGCTCCGGACCTCACCTATATTCCAAATCCCCATCATTGCAGGGCATTTGAAGTTTTAGCCTCAGGTCAGGGGGAAACCAGCTCAGGCTGCCCGTTCTCCTCTCAGGCCGCGAAGGGGTGTCGTGCAGCCCGGTTGGCCTTTCGGGAAGCTCACTGTGGCGGCCGCGGGGAAGCTCACGGCGGCGGCCCTCTGGCTAACCTTAGCGGTCGTTGAGCTCGCAGCCCTCAGCAGCCGTGGGGCCTCCGGCAGGCAGGCCTGGCGTGAGCCGGGAGACCACAGGCAGAGGCAACACTCAGCCTGACTTGGCAGCAGCGGGAAAGGGCCTGACTGCGTTTTGATCGAGTTTCACTGAATTTGCCAAAGCTTTGTCACATGTTTCCTCAGGTACTTGACAAGCCAAGGGCAGGAAAGGACATGCGGCGGGGCGGATGGGTAAGCAGCACCGGCAGTCGAGCTACCTGGGACTCTGGCACTGGCCCATGTTGCTGCTCATGAAACCCAGGAAAAGGTGACTGTTCGGGGCGTTTGTCGTCCACTGGCTGCCCATGCGGCAGAATGTCGCTGACACCCAGTGGGGGCCAGGAGGCGGCAGCACGTGTGCAGAATGCAGCCGCTCTACCCTGGAATATCTCAGCACGGGGAGAACTCACCTACCCAAACCTGGCGGCCCCCAGATCCCTTCTCCTAGCAAGGCAAGAAACTGGGGATCGAGCCAGACACCTTGCTCTCGTACATCAGAGAGACGGAAACTCTGATCCTGGCCTTTCCCATAAAGGACAATGTACATGGAAATGAATAATTTTCTTTCCAACTAAGAATCCGCTTTTTTTCTGAGCAGCAAGTGGCCAGCTCTTCTTGCAACAGAAAAGCTTCAACCTGACCAAACTTCAGGAAAGACTGCCATTTGTCAGCCCACTCGGAGGAATTTCAGATTAGGTGAAGTTGGCCATCATTCCCCTAGAACTCTCCTCTGGGCCAAGTCTAAGAGATTTCCTTCCTTGAGTCAGCCCAGTTCAGGCATGTAGGCTTGTCACTGCCCAGGTGGGGCACACCACATCTGGCGATGTCACTGTTTTGTAACAACGCACATTCACCTCTAAATTGAGAGTAATGGGTTCGATCTCTTCACTCTAGTTTTTCTGCCATTTTTCTCAAGGAAATATGAGAGCTAATTCTTTTCCTCAGGGGAATGTGGCTCTATTTGGAATGGGAAGGTGTATGGGGCACTGCATGATTTCAGCTTGTTCAGCTGCCCGGCCTCCTGTGCCCCACCCACCCCCTGCTTACCTGCTACAGTACATTCTACCACTCTTTTCCAGTCAAGGACACAGTCTGATTCTGTCCCTACACGATTCTTTCTGGGCCACATAGCCCAGCTACTCCTTTTAGAAGTATGAGTTCACTTACACCACTTTCTGCGTCTGTCCTCCATGTATCAAAGGAGGAGCAGTACTCACATCACAGAACCCCTTTCTAGCTCTAAAACAACAAAAAAATTTTTTTAAGATTTTATTTGTTTATTTGACAGAGAGAGACACAGCGAGAGAGGGAACACAAGCAGGGGGAGTGGGAGAGGGAGAAGCAGGCTTCCCGCGGAGCGGGGAGCCTGATGCGGGGCTCAATTCCAGGACTCTGGGATCATGACCTGAGCCGAAGGCAGACGCTTAATGACTGAGCCACCCAGGTGCCCCACTAAAAAAATTTTTTTAAATCCTGACAAAGTATACATCCTTATCCGTTTGACTTACACAATTTGATATTCCTTTGGAAACACAAATCCATCATGTAAGAAAGCAGAAATGATACTTCCTCAGACTATCTCCATGACTCTGAACGTTAAGGTCCTAACCCCCAGTGTGATGGTATTTGGAGATGGGGCTTTGGGGAAGTGATTAGGATTAGATGAGATCGTGATGGTGGGGCCCTAAGGATGGGATTACTGCCTTTATGAGAAAAGACAGCAGAGAGCTTGCTGTGTCTCCCTCGCTCCATGAGCACGTGTGAGGAAAGGTCATGTGAGCACACAGAGAAAAAGTGGCCACCTATAAGCCTGGAATAGAGCTCTTACCAGAAACCGAATGGGCCCACACCTTGCTTAGACTTCCCAGCCTCCGAACTGTGAGAAGTAGACTCCTGTTGTTAAAGCTGCCCAGTCTACATGGTATTTTGTGCTGGCAGCCTGAGCAGAGGAAGGTAGCAGGCATTCCTTACCATAGTCCTAGTGGGCCTTGGATGTCTTCATGCTGCAAGAAGACCCACCACCACCATGCGATCGCAGCAGTATGGAATGCACCATCAAATAAGGCAGAGCAGAGGCTTCTAATGCCTTCTTCAAGTGAAGATGACCAGCACTGTCACAATCTCCCGCATTGTTGTTTTGTTAGGAGTAGGAATTGCTTGAACTGGACGTAAAGTACTTTAAATAAGTACTCAGAAGGTAGCCATGGAAGATGAATGACCACCTCCAGTCCTCTTTGGAAGCAGGAAGATAGGAGTCATAATAGTATGCTAGTCAGAGTTAAACAAGAAATAGATATTTCTAGCAACAAAACCAATTACTGGAGCATGTTCTTTTCAGCACTTTAATGATTTTCATGGTCCAGCTTTTAGCTCCACTGGAAATGACAAAGCAAGTGTCACCCTGAACATCATACACCTTAAGTGGCATCTTGTGTGTTCTCATCCTTTCAGAACCAACTCTTCTGTGACTTTTCTAAAGGTCATTTGAAAATGACATTTGTATACTTTTGCATTCCACGGTCCCTATACAGAATGTATCCATCGTACTTCAGGGCTCCCACTATAATCTGCTTTTACTTCAGTGAGGCACTTGCCACATCATATTACAGGAAGGTGTCCTTTCTGTCCTGCTGGATATTGAACCCTCTGAGGGCAAAGCCACAGGCATAGAAGCTACTCAGTAAAAGAATGAATGAATGAATTAGTGAATTAGTGCTCCTTTGTGTATGACTTATTCCTCACATATCCCAGGCTTCCAAAGGCTCTGAATCAGCTACCAGACTGTGACCGTCTCTGCCTGCATCTGCCCGTCTATTATCTGATACTCTCAGCAGTAGTTAGACGTCGTCATCTTGGGGTTTTGGCCACAGGATAATGAGCCATGGGAGCTACCAGGATGCAGAGCCAGTAAGCTCCAAAGGTCGCATATGAAGATCCGGCATCTTAATAATATTTTTCCCAACTGTTGTTCTGTCCATATTTTTAAGATCTCTTGCTCTGTATTCATTCTGAAATCATTGACACTTCAGAGCTGCCAAACGTCCACTATAGCAGCATGGACTATTATGTGGCCTAATTTAGGAGGTCTGCCCTCCTATGTACTAGGAGAGTAACTCTTATAGTTCATGGTCTTTACCGACTCCTTTTCTATAAGATAAAACCAAGTACTTCGATAACAATTCAAACGTTAAATTCAGTTAAATGTGAGAAAACTGTTTTCAGAATAGATTCTGTAGCACAACTTTTCATCAGCTACGGCATCTACTGTGTGCCAGAATGGAGAGGTAAGCAGTGTTCCCCCAAGTGCCTGAATGCCTCCACATACATCTTTTCCCCCTTCCTCTGTGCTGGGATCTAGCCCGTGTTTTACTGCTTATGAATTTTGATCATGGTTGGCCATTACCTGTAGGCTTCCCCCAAGGAAATCTCCTCCGAGTATGGAGGGCTAAAGAGTTGAAGACCTAACATGACATCAGGCATAGGTTTGTGTCATTGTAGAATGACAGAGCCTGAGGCTGACTTGAAAGCAAGGTTCCTGCGCTCATGTAACACCAGGTAGGCAGCCATTCCTGAAGTAGCTCTGATGGATGTGGCCATACTAAGTGATATGTAGAAGAGAATAGAGAGAGTCTGGAGTATTTTTGGATAACGTTCTTAAGTTAATTCATCTTCCTTCCTCCTTCCCTCCCTCCCTCCCTTCCTTCTTTCCTTCCACAAGGGCTTACTGAGCACTTACCATGACCTAGACACTGTCCTAGGCTTGGGGGAAACAGCAATGAATAAGACCAGGTCCCTGGACCCTCATGGAGCTTACATTCTGATAGAAGAGAGAGATAATAAGTAAATAAATAATAATATGATTTCAGGAAGAAACTTTTATTTGATGAAAAAAAATGAGCAAAGGGTATGGTGGTTCCTCAAGAAATCAAACATAGAATTACCATATGATCCATTACTTCCACTTCTTGGATATATACCCAAAAGAATTGAAGGCAGGGTCTCAAATGGATATTTGTACACTCAGATTCATAGCATTATTCACAGTCACCAAAAGGTAGAGACAACCCATCGAAGTCCATCAGTGAATGAATGGATGAATACAATGTGGTCTATATATACAATAGAATATTATTCAGCCTTAAAAAGGAAGGAAATTCTGACACATGTTACAATATGGATGAACCTTGAAGACATTATTCTAAGTGAAATAAATCAGTCATAAAAGGACAATTGTAATATGACTCTACTTACATGCATTACCTAGAGCGGTCAAATTCATAGAGACAGAAAGTAGAATAGTAGTTTCCAGGGCTGGGGAGAGGGAGAAAAAAAGGAGAGTTACTGTTATTTAATGGTACAGAGTTTCAGTTTGGGAAGACGAGAAAGTTCTGAAGATGGGTTAGTGGTGATGGTTGAACAGTAATGCAGTAATGTGAAGGTACTTAATACCACTGAGCTGTACACTTAAAAATGGTTAAAATGGGGGGCCTGGATGGCACAGTCAGTTAAGTGCCCGACTCTTGGTTTCTGCTCAGGTCATGATTTCAGGGTTGTGAGATCAAGCCCAGCATCAGGCCTTGTGAGATCAAGCCCTCCCTCAGCGTGGAGTCTGCTTGAGACTCTCTCCCCCTCTCCCTCTGCCCTTCCCCCCCCACCCTGCACTCCCTCTCTCTCTCTCTCTCTCTCTCTCAGATAAATAAATATTTTAAAAAATGGTTAAAATGGTAGATGTTATACGTATTTTAACAATTAAAAAATTAATCTTTTAAAAAGTAAGCAAGGAGCTGGAGTAGGAATGATTTTAGTTAAGATCATCTGGGAAGGCTCCTCTGAGAAGGTGGCATTTGAGCCGAGGCCAACCTGAATGATGAAGCGAGCATGGGGCGATGTAGGGGATTAGTTTGGAATTTTGTTCTAAGTGCAACAGAATGGCTTTGGAGGGTTTTGACTAGTTAAAGAACATGCTCTGATGTACCACTTTAAGAGATCATACCGGCTGCTATGTGAAAAGTAACAGAAAGGGAGAAAATCTGGAAGGCAGAAGACTAATTAATGAAGAGATTATGGCAGTTGTCTCAGCGAGTGACTGGTGGCTTGGGTGATGTTGAGATGATGCAGGAGGTGGGGAAAAGTGGTTGGGTTGGGTATATTTTCAAGGTAGACTCATCCTGATTCGCCAATGGATTTGATATGGGGTGTGAGGGAAAGAGGTGCATTAAGGGTGATGTCTCAGTTTTTAACTGAACAACTGAGTGAAAGAATGTGCCAACCACTGAATGGAAATGACTAAGGGAAAAGCTAGTTGGGGGATGGGGAGGGGCATGGGGACTCAATCAAAAGACGGTTTACATAAAAAGCAAAAGCAAAATCCAGGACTAGCTGAGTGATAGCACATAGAAGCCATTCATTAAGAACTTGAATGGATGAAAGAATTAATTAGTTAATTAAACGGAATGTGTAAATGGAGGGAGGAAGGAAGGAAGAAAGGAAACTAATTCTAAATGTTACAAAACGTGAAGGAGAACATTTTGCAAAATGCTATGATCTTAGTAAAGACCCCAAGCTAGGATTTGAAAGAAATAGGTTCCAGTCCCAGATAATATTTCCAAACCTCAGATTCCTCCTCTCAGCTTTTATTCTGGGATTTCGTGCCTTTCCCCCTTCAAAGGCAATGTGTTCACATTTTGACTCATCCCGCCAGCAAGCCCATAGCCCTGGTATCCCTGTGCATAAATGCAAAGCGCACACACACACACACACACAAGCAGAGCTCACAACCTCTGGGGCAGGGAACAGCCAATCCATAAGTCCCTCCAGCTCTGCACTCACCAACCACGGCCTCCCCACCCTCAGCACACGCCCTGGGCATCCCCACAGGTATTGGGGTACAGGCCCCAAAGGAATCCAGACAATTCCCGGTAAAGGTCAGTTCCCCAGAGAGTCTCACTTTTTAAGAGCACAGTTTTAAGCAAGCAGGACACAAGATTAGGTCATTCCATGCATTGGCTGGACGTGTGTCAACTGACCCACTGATGGTTCTTACTGGGCCTGCAGGCTGGTTCCCATTGATAGTCAGTCACAAAGGGAGAGGGGAGCAGTGAGTGGGCAGAAAATATTCACAAGTCACCTTCACAGTTGGTAGGGCACGATGCAAAATGAGAAAGACCTGTGAAAATGCTGTGACGCAGGCTTCCCTCGGAGGTTTTCACACACTAACCACGTTTTGTGCCGGCTCTTCCACAGGATTGAGGGTACAGAGCCTGCCTACGTCATCCCCCTTGCCCGTTTCTCTTCCGGCAACCACTCTCCCTTCCACGGCCATCTGGACAAGCTCTCCACAGAGCCCTCCTGCCTCCCTGACCAGTGGCACTCCCAGCAACTCGGTCTTCCCAGCCACAGCCTCGGCGCCAGCACCTCTGCTCCCCAGGAACATTTCCACAGAGCCCAGAGAAGAGGAGACGACGAGCAGCCCGGCCTCTCCCCGGGAAGGCACGAACACAGACCCCTCACCAGCCGGCGGTGGGGTGCACGTAACAGCCACACCCTCAGAACACAACTCAAGCACTCCCGAGGAGGCAAGCGCGCCCCCCACAGGGTCCCAGCCCCCCTCGGCGGCCCCCACTGAGTCTCCCACCCTCACCTCCCCTCAGGCTCCAGCCTCATCACCCCCACGCCTATCAACCTCACCCCCGGAGGTTTCTTCTGCCTCCTCCGCCAGCACCAGTCACAGCTCTGCTGAGACCAGCACCAAGCCCACAGGAGCCCCAACCCCACCCGAGTCCCCAGCAGAAGAGCACAGTTCTGCCCACACACCCACTTCCCATGTCACAGCCCAGCCGCTGCCCACGGAGACAACACCCCAAGCCACAGTGCCGGCCAAAGTGACCTGTGTGATGATGGACATGGAGACCACTGCCTCCCCTGGGGTGAGCATGCAGGAAGTGGAGCATGCGCTAAGTTCAGGTGAGTCTTAGTCACCAGAACACGGAGATGTGAAGAATGCAGTTCCATTAACCCCACCCAACTGATCTCAGTTTGAATTTTGGAGAGCCAAGCCTGAGGTCCGTTCACCAGAACTGCCACCAAGGTGCAAACGTTGCTTTTAGTCACTTGATTAACTTCCACATGCTATCTCACTAACTGCCGCTGGTCCTCATGATGTGTCTTCACATATGTCACAGAGAATGTCCACAGGGGAGACAGTGTAAACAGAGGGGTTAACTGCGTGGCTTTTTGGCCGAGCTTCCTAGGTTTTAAGTTCTGGCTCCGGCCCTTGGGTGAGTGACTTCATCTTTTTGTATCGTTATTTTTCCTCATCTGTAAAATGGGGACAAAATAGGTTCTGTTGGACATGATTCTTGTGGGGATTAAATGAGATGACCTATTAAGTGCTTAGAACAGTTCCCAGAGGGGAATAAGTGCTCGGGAAATGTCCATTATTAGTATTTTGCTCAGCCTATTAACGAAGCGCTTACCTCATGGAAACCAGTCAGGCCAAGTAGGATGGGGGGGAAGGGTAGAGAACTTGTTTATTCTTTATAGTCACTGATATAGTTCATGGGAAAGACAATAAATTTTACAGGACATCGCATTTGTTTTTATTCTCCCAGCAGTCCTCTGAAGTCAGTATTATTCTTATCTTGATTTTGCAAGCTTAGAAATTACAGCGGAGAGAGATTTAGGGTCTCTTCTGAGGTCTCATGCATCTGGCATTGACGTAAAGACGGTAAACTTTAGGGTATTGAGCAGGAAGAGGCTTTAGTGGGAGTGTTTGGCCTCCCGAGTGAGAAACAGTGAGGTGAGAACTCCCAGAAGGTGAAGGGGGGAGCGGAGCTGTGGCCCCTCCCCTGGGGAGTGTTCAGAGCACAGCCACACAACTAGCTGGGGTCAAAGGCATGGCTGTGCCTGAAGAGAAATGAACATCTTTTAACAAACAATCAATAAGCAACCCCTGTGCACAGAAACTCCCATGTTTACTGTGCATCTACCAGTATACTGTGCTTGAGGCAGAGGAGGAGAAGACCAGTCTTTGAGATTTCATAGCTTCAGTAGAGAGAAAAGGGCACGACTAACTCTTCATATACCACTACTACGATCACATTAGTTTCTAATCTGAGAAAGAACCGAAATGGGTAGAAGGATCTTTGAGCAGATGGGATACAATCTGTTCATTTCAAAGGTGATGAAATTATGTCCCAGAAGTTTGGAGGGGCTCGCCCAAGGTCACCCCGCCCAGGGGCAGAGCTGGGCCCGGAGCCCAGATCCTGAAAACCGCGATCAGGCCTCCTTTCAGCAGGCGGGGGTCGCTGCGCTGCTCCTTCCCCAGCCCGGCAGGCCAGGGGAACCCAGAGACTGGGCCAGCAGATTAGCGTTTGGGGCTGTTCTCCCTGAGCTGCCTTCATAATGGCAGTAATTATACCACACTTCCATTTCGCATTTTGTCTTATTCTGCATGACGTTCACCTGGCGTATTTTTATTCCTCCAAGGACTCGTCCACTCCACGGATATCTAGCCGTGGTCAGCAGTGAATAAATCTAAAACAAGGTAATTGCCGTGGCCGTGAAATGTGACTAGGGGCCGAGGGAAGGTTCCATGATGCAGGGAGCGCAGGAGCTGAGTCCGAGGAGAGGAAGGGAATTGGGACCTAAAGAGAGCCAGGGCCAGGGAGATTCAGGGAGCCGGAGACAGAGTAGCTGAGGATCCACATAGCAGCTGCAGTCCCCGGGACTGCTCTTGCGGAGGACGGGTCCAGCGCCCTCCACCTCTGCCAAGTCTAGGGGTTAATGTGAGGCCCGGCTTGACCCGACCTGTCAGCGGCATTGGCCGGGGTCGGGCACTGCCCTGGGCTTTGAGGCCTTGTCTCCCCCTGGCCTCCAGGGCACGTCTCGCTGGTCTTCACCTGCCTGGCGGAGCACTCCTTCACAGTCTCTGCTGCCTTCCTTCGCCCCTCATCCTCCTCCCGTGCCGCCCCCCAGGGCCAGTCCTGCCCTCCTCTGTCCGGACCTCTCCGCACTCACTCCTGAGATGATCTCATCCCGTTGCAGGACTTAACATGCCATCCGTTTGCTGATAACCCTGAGACAGAAGGTTCTATCCCTGTTTTGTTTCAATGAACTAAAGCCACGTATAGCCGGCTGTCAGCTAACTCATATCCCCACACGCCTGGCTCGTAGGCAGCTTGCGCTGAATACGTGTAGGGTGAGTTCCTGATTTCCTCAGCCCTCCATCTGCTCTTCCCTCACCTTGCAGAAACCCGGGGCTAGTCCTGGACTCCTTCTTTCCTCACAGACTCCTCAGGCAGCCCATCAGAGCCCAGGCTCCTCTCAGCCCTCGCCCTCCCTCACCGGTATGACTTTAATATTCCTATAACGGATCCCCACTAGCTCTCCCTTGCCAGAGAGATCCTTTTAAAACCTAGGACAGACCCTGTCACTTCTTGGCTCTGTGACCCTTCTGTTGCTTTCCCTCCAAAGCACAGCCAAAGCCAAGTCTGTGTCACACCTGCAGTGCTCCCACAGTCTAAGCCGTGCAGTGTCTCTGCTCTCCTCTTCTTCTTCCACTTTTACCTGCAAATGCACCGGCAGCCTTACTGTTTCTGGAACATACTGAAGACACTCTTGCCACAGGTCCTTTGTACTTGCTGTTCCCTCTGCCTGAAAGATTTTCCCTCTAGGTCTTCAGTGGCTCACTCCTTTTCACCCATCAAGACTTTGTTTGGCTGCCATCCCCTCAGTGATCCCCATGAGCCTTTCCCCTTACCCCTGGGTGAAATAGTCATCCCATCACTGTTGGTCCCGCTACCCGACTTATTTCCCTCTTGATTACTTACCATTTTCTGACTTTATCTCATTTATTTAGCAAGTGGGTGTCTGTTTTCCACCATTAGACTGTCAGCTCCATGAAAGCAAGGAACTTGCTCACAAAGAGGAAGATGAAGGTTACATCCCCGATCCCTAGGACAGAGCCTGACATGTGGGAGACCCTCAGTAACATCTGTTGAATATGGGAATGAAAGAGTCAGTCAACCAATACCAGAGAGGTTGCTTAACCTCGCTGAGCGTTGGTCACCTCGTTGGTGAGGTGAGGTAAGGATACTTTCCCCATGACGAGATTATTGTCAGGTTTAATTAAGAAATTTAGAGCTTAGTGGCTATTGACCAATGGTTCAGTCAATGTCTATGATTGTTATTTCCCTATGATTTATCATCATCATCATTATTATTGCCATTTTACTATCGTTACTATTATTTTTGTTGTTGTCGTGTTTATCATAATGAAGAATGCCCACCATCTTCAACAAACTTTTATTGAGCTTTGACTGTGAGGCTAGGTACTAGGGATTTGGCCGTGAATAAGACATCACTGTCCTCACAGAGCTTACAAGGTAGCATGTGCACAGCATGGCAAGTAGCCCAGTTTAGTGGATCCCAGACTGCATGGAAGGGGGAATTTGTAGAAGCAGGAAGCAAGGTTTCAGGACAGCCTGGATGAGGTGATTTACTTGACTTGCCAGACCATTGATAGTCATCAAAAGCTTTTGATCAGGGGAAGAAGATGCTGAGAATCATATTTTAAGGATATTCCTGTGGCAGGAATAGGTATGGTAAGTTGTAGGACGTTCGGTACCAGAAACACATAGACCAGTTTCTACCTGGTTTCCAGTTTGCCATTGCCCCTGATAGACCATGTCACTTCATTACTCTGACTTTAAGGGCTCTTAGCTATAAACTAAATACAAGAAAGGCAATCTTTTGGGTCCTTTTGGCTTATCATACCAGGAATTGTGTATTACAATTATCCTATGCCGAAGAAATGAGATTCATATTCATGTAAGGCTTACTGAGAATATACACGTTCTAAGAGTCAGGCTAGCAATGGACACAGGTAAGCCCCTGGGTGATCGTCAGAACATTCCAGTTAGGTGATCTCAACGGTATCTTTTCTACCAAAGAGATTCAGTAACTTACTCAAGTTCTCACTTGAGTGACCAGACCAGGATTCCAATTCAGTTCTCCTGACTGACCCTAAGTCAAACAACACCGATCCTACCTGAAGTCACAGAAGGGAAAAGTTGGGGGAGGACCGATGGCCTCCATCACTACTGTGGAAATAAGCCACGTGGGATGTTGTCAAAGGCTGCACGTGGCCTGCCGAGTCTAGGGGGCGGGGCTGCCTGGCGGGAAGGGAAGCAGGTGGTAGTCGCAGCCTTCCAAAAGTGGCTATGCAGAAGAAACGAGTTTTGGTTTTTGTTTTTCAGTTTTTGTTTTGCTTTTGAGGAAGAGAGACATGATCTGTTAAGTTTGGATCCTCTTGTGCTATTAAGTCAGTTCTTCAAGGGTGGACAGTATGAGAACGATATGCTTTGACCCATGACCGAAATTGAAGGGTGCCGAGTGCAATTTGGTGCGCAACAGGTGCTTGAGGGATTGACTGACGTTGCGTACCAAGTTATATTGGAGATATCTTCAATTCTTGCAAATGCAAATTTTAAATTATGGTCACTTTGCTTGTTGCGGAGTGGATATTCTCTTTTGTCTGTAAAACCCAAGTGTCCACTGGCCTTACTGTGCTAGCTTATACGCCTCATTACAAAGGGAAAGCCATGTAATTGTGAAAATTGATGATGGTCTTTGAACTTTATATTGCTAGTCTGAACCCCAGTCTTTATTCAGTATGAACTGTGCTAATAAATACCCTTCCATAAGGAGCATTTGGCAGGCACAGACATCTAGACAGCCCTGCATCCATACCTGAGAGGGACTTTTAGCTCCACATGACATTTCCTTATTCCATGATTAACTCTTAGGATGAGCCATAGATTTGAAAAAGAATGAAGTCTAAAGGGCTCTCTGCCGCCACTGTGGGGTTTCAGCCCACCCTCCTTCCCACCACACCTCTTCTCCCCTGCTGACTCCCTCTTGTCTTTGGTTCCTATGGACTTCAGAGTTGATGAGATTATGGG